CACTAGACCAGCTAGCCACAATAAGATTCATCCAACTAGGTATATTTCTACACCATAGGAAAGTTAGCACAGGCACCTCTGTGACCACAAATGCAAGTTTTTACAGACGAATCTCCAGCTAGCGTGGCCGTGACGAACTCTAGCTCAAGTCCCTTCACTGCCGTCAACATGACTCAAGAAATCGTAATGACACGATTGCAAATAAACCATACCCCCGGCCGGGATTGAACCCGCGGTCATAGAGTCTCAAAACTCCAGCCCGTCGCGTTAGCCACTAGACCAGCTAGCCACGGGCTGGAGTTTTGAGACTCTATGACCGCGGGTTCAATCCCGGCCGGGGGTATGGTTTATTTGCAATCGTGTCATTACGATTTCTTGAGTCATGTTGACGGCAGTGAAGGGACTTGAGCTAGAGTTCGTCACGGCCACGCTAGCTGGAGATTCGTCTGTAAAAACTTGCATTTGTGGTCACAGAGGTGCCTGTGCTAACTTTCCTATGGTGTAGAAATATACCTAGTTGGATGAATCTTATTGTGGCTAGCTGGTCTAGTGGCTAACGCGACGGGCTGGAGTTTTGAGACTATGACCGCGGGTTCAATCCCGGCCGGGGGTATGGTTTATTTGCAATCGTGTCATTACGATTTGAGTCAGGTAGTTATGTTTGTGTTACAGACACTTGTTAAATATGTATCGTACGGGTTATAGGCCTATAATTAGCAATACTGACTATAATTAGCAGTACATGCCCTATAATTTGCAATACAGGCCCTATAATTAGCAATACTGACCCTATAATTAGCAGTACATGCCTTATAATTTGCAATACAGGCCATATAATTAGGAGGATTGATAGCTAAATAGGCTACCAGAATGACTAAACATGTATTTGTAATTTCTAATTACTCATATAATCGCTAATATAGTTACTAATATAACTGCTTAATAATATAATTACCAATTAATGTTATCCACAATTTTGTATATAAAATGGGCTTGTGCGCCGCGTGTCCTGAAATGTGTAGGACATGGGTAATAAGGGATCTGCCTAGGTCCTGTGTCCTGCTGCTAAGTTTACCTGTGGAATATTCTGAGAAGTCTTTTTTGTGAGGTATTTTTTGTGTGGTTGTGTTTTTTGTGAGGTGTTTTTGTGAGGACGTTTTGTGAGGTCGTGTTTTTGTGAGGTCGTGTTGTGCGAGGTGTTTTTGTGAGGCGTTTTAGTGAGGTGTTTTTGTGGGGATGAGTTTTGAGAGGTCGTGTTTTTGAGGTCATGTTTTTGTGAGTTTTTTATGAGGTCGTGTTTTGTGAGGCGAGTTCTGAGGTATTTAAATATCGCTATATTTCTACTTTAGCTTCTGCTACCATCTCTTATGTTATGTTCTAAACACACACACACATAAAATGTGCCGAATAGGTAAAATTGGTCTATTAGCAAGAACTCATTTAAAATTAAGTCATTTCTAATATAATATATATATATATATATATATATATATATATATATATATATATATATATATATATATATATATATATAATATAAATGGCCAGGAGCGGTGCATCGACCCCCAGCAATGAGAACTAGGTAAGGGCACTCTCGCCAGCACCTCCTGCCTCACATATAAGATATCTGGTAACTATAATGCCGCTCCAGCACCACCAGACCCATTCTGGGATTACCAGGTTGTTCCTATAATAGCATAGTCACAGGTCAGTAAAGGTGGTCGGGTTGTGTGACCTGAGATTCTGGTCAAGTGGTCAAGACACAGCAGGAGGTCACCCACCATTTCCTGACCTCCCCTTCTTAAACCTCTCATTCACGCTCAGAACCTAAAGCTGGAGCTTTGTACTATTATTAGACACAGTGCAAAGCTTTTGTTTACTTAGTACGCTCTTTCTCTCATAGCCCTGTGATATAATAATAATAATAATAATAATAATAATAACAATAATAATAATTTTTATTTCTACATGTACAAGGTATACAGACCATAAATGACATACTACCATATAAAAAGCCCCTTGTTATGCAGAACATTTCGGGCAAATTAAGTCAATTTTGTCCCCAGGATGCGACCGACACCAGTCCATTAACATCCAGGTACCTATTTTACAGTAACAGCAGGTGTCTTAAGGAAACACGTCCTGGTTCCACCCATACTGGGGATCGAACCACGGGCCTCAGTGTGAGAACTGAGTGCCCTAGCATGATTGTAGTTTTGCACATACAAACAGTGGAGAACTGCAGTAGGCGTATTTATTTATGCTAGGCAGTTTCAGCTCACATTCAACTACACTCACTCATACAACAGTTCTATTTTTAGAGCTCCTCAGAGCTCTCACACTCAGTGCCATTACTTGAGAATTTGTTCCACCCATCTAATACTTTATTACTAAATCAGTGCTATACCCTTTATAAATCTAAATCTGTCGGCTCTTTTTCAGTGCTGTGAGTACTGTCTTTTAGATATTTTCAACACCCTGTTTACGTCCTCTTATATCTATTTCCACATGTATATTTAAATCACTATTTCATTAATGTTTCATCAGTGTAAATTCAGTATCTTCAGAATATCTTCACATACAAGGCTTCCGATGCAAGGCATCAACTTTGTCAATTTTTATTTCCAGAGAGTTTTGAGACTCTCTGATCGCGGGTTCTATCTCCGCCCGTGCTATGGTTAGTCTGTTCATTCGTCAAGGAAACCAGAGCTGAGTAATCTAAATGAATCTCTACCAAAGAAGAAAATTCTTACACTCATATCACTCCTCTGAACACTTCTTACATTACTACAACAATCACTACTCTCATTATACTCACTAATTCAACAATCACTTCTGACACTTTTCTCACTACAACCATCATTATATACACATTACTTCTTCAACAGCCACTGCTATCTTTATGCTCACTATACTCTCTTTACAATCAATATACAGTACTCACTACTACAACAATCACTACCGTACACTAACCATACTCTATACTCACTATTACAACAATCACAATTCTCTCTTCTCCACATCATCTACATTACTGTACTTCTCTCTTCACCTCTCTCATTAAAACTCCTCCCCACTCCCCATCATTCTCCTTTTTTTATTTTTTTTTTTAACTCAAGACTATCTCCTGCTTTGGCAGGGTGACCCAAAGAAGAAAACACGCCACCATCATTCACTCAATTGCTATATACGTATTTTCTGTATTTTTTTTTTTACAAAATCTTGTTATGAATATGGTATTGTGTATATGGACTTCAGTAGGCATTTGACAGAGTCCCACATCAGAGACTATTGAGTAAAGGTGAGGTACACAGAATAGGAGGAGAAATTTTTTCCTGGATAGAGGAATGTCTGACAGATAGGCAACAGAGTTTGCATAAACAGGGAGGAATCATAGTGGGAAAGCATCACAAGTGGTTTTCCACAGGGGCCAGTGTTGGGGCCCTTGTTGTTCACAATTTACATAAACAATATAGATGAGGGTATAAATAGCGACATAAGCAAGTTTGCCAATGACACCAAAACAGGGCATCGAATTCATTCTGATGAGGCCACTAGAGTACTCCAGGAAGCTCTGAATAGACTGATGCAGTGGTTGGTGAAGTGGCAGATGCAATTTAACACAGACAAATGCAAAGTTCAAAGCATTGGAAAGGTAAATAACCATGATAAACCATACCCTCGGCCGGGATTGAACCCGCGGTCATAGGTTCTCAAAACTCCAGCCCGTCGCGTTAGCCACTAGACCAGCTAGCCACAATAAGATTCATCCAACTAGGTATATTTCTACACCATAGGAAAGTTAGCACAGGCACCTCTGTGACCACAAATGCAAGTTTTTACAGACGAATCTCCAGCTAGCGTGGTCGTGACGAACTCTAGCTCAAGTCCCTTCACTGCCGTCAACATGACTCAAGAAATCGTAATGACACGATTGCAAATAAACCATACCCCCGGCCGGGATTGAACCCGCGGTCATAGAGTCTCAAAACTCCAGCCCGTCGCGTTAGCCACTAGACCAGGAGTTTTGAGACTCTATGACCGCGGGTTCAATCCCGGCCGGGGGTATGGTTTATTTGCAATCGTGTCATTACGATTTCTTGAGTCATCTTAAATAACCATGATATTTATAAACTAAATAATGTAGATCTTAATATCTCTGACTGTGAAAAAGATTGCGAGTTCTGGTTAGCAGTAATCTAAAGCCCAGACAACATAAGTATTCAAAATAAAGTGAATAGAATTCTTGGCTTCATATCAAAAAGTATACTTAGGAGAAGTCCACAGGTTATTCTTCAACTCTGGAGAGCGAAACGTTGCCACAATAAATGTCACATTAGTTGCACTTGTGTCCTTTTACTTTACATATTGTCAGTAATTCTACCAACTTTATTACAACTCTGTATATCGTTGGTTAGGCCTCATTTAGATTATGCTGCACAGTTCTGGTCACCGTATTACAGAAAAGATATAAATGCGCTTGAAAACGTACAAAACAGGATGACAAAAATTATCTGTATCACAAATCTTTCCTATGAGGATAGACTAGGGGGCCCTGAATCTGCACTCTCTAGAAAGGTGTAGAATTAGGGGGGGACATGATTGTGGTGTATAAATGGAAAATTGGAATAAATAAAGTTAATGTAAATAATGTGCTAAAAATATCTAACCAAGATAGGACTCACAGCAATGGTTTCAAGTTGGAAAAATTTAGATTTAGAAAAGATATAGGAAAACACTAATTTGGTAATAGAGTTGTGGATGAGTGGAATTCCCAAGTAGCATCATTGAAGCTAAAACCTTGTACAGTTTTAAAAATAGGTTAGAGAAATACATGAGTGGGTGTGGGAGTGGGTGGGACCTGCCTCACATGGGCCAGTAGGCCTGCTGCAGTGCTCATTCTTTCTTATGTTTTTATGTTTCTGAATATCTTGTTTTCTTAATAAGCAAACAGTAATATGTATTAACTCATGGGAAAGACGGGAAAATCAAAAGCATGGTTATTTTATTTTTTATTGTAAATTTAAAGTTAATAGCTTTTCTAATACACAGTTACAAAGTTCTTAGCTACACTAATTTGAACATTTTTGGCTGGGAAAAGCAGCAAGGTACATTCTAATTATATTTAGGCAAATTATGAAAACAGATGAAGACACTTCTGATAAAATAATCAACTGCAGTACATAAACAATAACAAAGCATTATATATAAAAGTATGATTTGTCTACTGAGAATGCCATGATTACATATTATTCAACATTACAATGAAAATTACATCACTTATAGAGGAATAAAAACTAAACAAAATTTCTTGAGATATTTCAAAATTTATTACACTTCAAGCTGCATTTTAATATACTGTAGGGAAGAAAGGGCAAAGTTAGGCTGACTAATTTTCATTAATAAAGGTTAATAAATTCTAGTGTTACCTCCTCAGGTTTGTAAGAACTTACTTATGACAATGTACAAAAAGTGTTAACATGAAATCTTACTTGATTGACTACAACTAAATACTGTAAATGTCAGCAGGTACACAGCAGTGTTTCAGTCCTAACATAGCTCAAACACTGTAGTGATAGAATGAGACACTTGTGCAACATTTGAGAATCTCTGAGAAAACATTTTGCCAGCCACTGGCTTCTTCAGTCCAATACAGAGCAAAACAGTGGAAGATGAGGAGGAGTTTGAGGTAATCAGGCCCTCAGCTTGGAATCAACATGTTCAGTCCATAGACTCCAGGCTGAAGGACTGATTACCTCAACTCCTCCTCATCTTTCCCTGTTATTCTCTGTATTGGACTAAAGAAGTCACTGGCTAGTAGAACATTTCCTCAATAAAGATACCCAAATATTGCATAAGTGTCTCATTCTTCAACTTGTCAGCTTTCAAAACCATTTTCATCACAACTGTAGTGATATCCATTTAGACTAAAATTAACAGTGAAACACTATCTTGTGCCTGCTGGGAACATTCATAAATTACTTTGCTCCAAAAGCGAAGAAAAAATCTATTAGGATATAAGACACTGGTGTTCCCTCAAAGTGTCATAATTTGCTGAATTAAGACCCTTTAAGGGAAGGGGAAGGGGTGCCTTGATGCTGGTGAAGGGCTCTTGATCTGAGTAATTGGCACTATCTTCCTCTTCCTCTGATCAACTCTGATTACCTCCCAGTCCCCAGGTGCTGTATAACCCTTACGGGTTTAGTGCTTCCCCTTAATTTCTCAACCCATCATCCTCGGCAACAGATGGAATTCTAAGTGTTTATAAACGGCCATTTTTTCCTCATCCAATTTTTAGCAAATTCCCCTATTTACATTATTTATAGTTATGTTACTTAGGTTTGAGTGATGTCTGGCAACAAAAATAACCAATTACAGTGGACCCCCGGTTAACGAACTTTTTTCATTCCAGAAGTATGTTCAGGTGCCAGTACTGACCGAATTTTTTCCCATAAGGAATATTGTGAAGTAGATTAGTCCATTTCAGACCCCCAAACATACACGTACAAACGCACTTACATAAATACACTTACATAATTGGTCGCATTTGGAGGTGATCGTTATGCGGGGGTCCACTGTATATCATGCCTGCAAGGCCAATTAATGAAATTATTGTACTGCTGGCAATGTTCCTAATCATTTGTGCTTTGCTTGCTTTATGTTATAAGGTATGCTTATAATTGGTTTATTTTGACTGCTAGACAACAATCTAACCAAACTTCTATTAACCTAACCAAGTTTAAATATGAAATTTGTTGTTTTTTTAATTTTTTTATTTTTTGTAACACACTAGCCATCTTCCACCAAGGTAGGAAGACCCGAAAAGAAGAAACGCTTTCTTTATAAAATTATCTCTTTTCCTACATTTACTAATTTATACAGGAGGAGTTACTAGTCCCTTGCTCACTGTTAATAAAAAATGGCTGAAAAGTCTATGTGGCAAAGTTGACTGTTTACAAACAGTTGAAATTACAACTGTTGCTCAGGAGGTTGAATTATAATAATACTAAATTGAAAGAGATCTCTCTAATATACTAATACAGTACAGGTATTTGGGAAAAGTGATGAGAGGATCTGACAGTGAGCTATCATTGACAGGAGCCAAGCGCATGCACTATCTAACTGGACTACAGGTGCTCCTTGACTTACAATAGTTCGACTTATGATGTTTCGACTTTACGATGGTGCAAAAGCAATTACTTTGGAGATGGAACTGGAGATAATTACCCAGTATGAAAGCAGCAAGTCCGTAACTTGTATAGTTTTTTTTACTTTTCAATACTTGTATTTAGTTAGTTACAGTAATTATTTGTTTATTTACTTACTTAACGACAGTAGTTATTTATTTACTTACTTATTTAGCATATATCAACTTTTGACTTACGATGGGTTGCTGGAACATACCCCATCTTAAATCCAGGAGCACCTGTATTAGAAAATGCTTACAGTTTATAATAACAAATGAGCATCTACTATCAGTACATTGAATTACTGCACAACTAATGTTTTGACTTTGGACAGTTTAATATAAATAAATTGTTATAGTTTTTTGCAGTGATTACAACCTACTGATGCTATTAACTTCACTCTCTGTTAATATGCTGTTAGTAAAGAAATTAGTCATAAAAGGCCTTGCAAGTTCTCTTGTTAAAGACTTTTCATAAATAGTTTCATGGGTGTAATTAATGAACCTGTGAACATATTTTTTGATTCCCATTTAAAAAGCAGAAACAAATTAGTATTTATGTCACAGGAATTCTCTTCCCATCCTAATAACCTGTTAGAAATCACAACTGCAATAACGATTCTTGTTCTCTTCTTGAAACTGATGGAAGCATACAAGTCACAAACTCACTTATTGTCTCTTCTTAATGGAGCTCATCAAAATCGACGCAATCAATGACTCTTCTTGATAACATGCTGGAGATCATACTTTCCCCTTACGCACTTGAGCTTGACGCCGGGTACATCTTGCAGCCTCCCAGGTCTGACCAAGACAATGTTGTGCTCCTGCAGGTTGTGACCTTCTCCTGGCACGTAGGCAATCATCTCTCTGCCAGTTGTAAGTCGCACCAACACGCATCTATGTTGTATCAAATAATACTGTTAAGCAGTTGCCAGGTATAATAATATGTATTTCAAGTCCTCTTTAAAATTTAAAATGAATAACCTGGGCTGTTTCCTGCCAAGGGTGTGTGAGCCAAGAAAAAAACATATTCATGATCACTCATCCAATAGCTGCCTTGCCAGAAGTGCATGGACTTCATAGTTCAAATGATCCCTGAATATTATACTGTATATGAAAACAGATGTCTCCATGGGGAAGTGGAGAAGAACCCTTCCTCTGTAAGCCATTTGTGTTGTAAGAGGTGACTAAAATGTATAAATGACTTAATGTAGAAAGAATAAAAAGATAATGAGAGAGTTTCGTCTTTTTTGGGTTCCCTGCCTTGGTTGGAGATGGCCATTGTATCAAGAAAATAAAATGAAAATAGATGTATTGCTGTAGTATATTAAAATTTTCAATCGTTCACCTCATCCTAACCCTATTATGCACTTTAATGAGACAGGTGGAGGTACTCACTAGGGAAGGTTAGAAAAGTGGTGTAAGGAAACTAATAAACAAAGTTTCTTACTAGAAGAGAATCTCAGCTGGAGGATGAAATGTACAGACTACTATATGAAACATTCCCATGGACTAGGTGTTACAGCACCATGTGAAGTGATGCAAATACAGATGTCTATCCAACAAACTACTTTCACTTACACAAATAACCCGCACATAGAAGAGAGGAGCTTACGACGACATTTCGGTCTGACTTGGGCCATTACATTTCCCACTACATTGTAAATTGCTCCAAACTTCAGAACACCTGTTACTTAACCTGATTCCTCCTTTTTCTTCTTCTCCCTCTTCCTCTTTCCTTTTTCTCCTTTGGGTTGTCTTTCTTCTGCCTTGTGTATTTGTTCCTTCTTTCTTTATTTTTTATTTATTTTTCCCCTTCCATGTTCTTGCTCTTACCCTCTGTAAGCACCTAGCTCCCTTGCAGTGCTCCTCTTTCTTAGTATTTGACTGGCTCCTCCTCCTTACTACCTCCCCCACTACTACTACAACCTTCTACCTCCACTACTACTACTACCACCACCTCCTGGCTATATATACCCCTCCCTCTCTTCTTTTCATTAGTGAGACTTTGTAAATGGTCCAAGTCGGACCGAAACGTCGTCGTAAGCTCCTCTCTTCTAAGTGCAGGTTATTTGTGTATCGTTCCAGTTACGGTATTGTGCCTTTTTTTTGTTACTTTCACTTAGCCCTCATTCACTACCACTTAAGTGTTATTCATATGTATACCACATTTTCTCAGTGACCATGCCATTGTAGTATCATCCTGGTACGCAACGCTGTCGCCTCTCTCACAGTGTCCATGGTTCAATCCCAGCATGGGTGGAAATGTTGGGCATATTTCCTTACAACTGCTGTCCTTGTTCACCTAGCAGTAAGTAGGTACCAGTGTTAGCCACCTTACACCTACTCTCACTGTTTATCTAGCAATAAGTAGGTATCTAAGGGTTAGCCACCTTACACCTGCTGTCATTGTTTACTTAGCAGTAAGTAGGTACCTGGGTGTTAGGTAAGGTGTGGGTGGCATCCTGGGGCATCCTGAAGGATGACAATGGGAATAAGACAGACAGTCCTTGATGATGCACTGACTTTCTTGGATTATCGTGGGTGGCTAACATTCTCTGGAGTTAAAAATCCAAACGAATCTTATCTTAAGGCCTTTTCACATGCTATACAATTCTGGACCCACTTTTTCAATTACAATTTACAAAAAAAAAAAGAGAAACTTTATAAGAGAATGCACTGTATAATTTTAAAAGTTAAGAGCAACTTACTTGCGGTTAGCAGAGTTGGGTTTTTTTGGCTTCTTAATTAATGTTTTCAGCACAACCCCTCGAGCGTAAGGCTTGTTGATCAGGGGGTTCTTGTTCTTGCGGATCTTCTTGACAGGTCCTGAACGATGCATCTGTCGCAGTGATGCTGGCCGCGCTGCAGATGTAGCCAGTTTCCGCACCTGTTGGCAATTATTATTACAGGTAGGCCCCACTTTACAGTGCTTCACTTATGCAGCACTTTTTGGTTATAGCCATTCTTCATTTATTCAGACTTCCTATAATAAATATATTTACCACTCACTATAGGCCAAGGATGAAAATATTTTAAGGTAAGTAATGTGTATACTGTATATGCATTTTCTAGGCCCAGCTCTATTGCTCACTTAATGTGGTAGTGTATACATCATCAGATTTTTATTTATTTTTTTAACAAGTCGGCCAGTTCCTACCGAGGCAGGGTGACCCAAAAAGAAAGAAAAACCCAAAAAGAAAAAAACTTTCATCATTCAACATTTTCACCATCACTCATACATTTTCACTGTCTTTGCAGAGGCGCTCAAATACAGCAGTTTAGATGTCCTCCCAAACTGCCAATATCCCAAACCCCTCCTTTTAAGTGCAGGCATTGTACTTCCTATTTCCAGGACTCAAGTCCAGCTAACTGATTTCCCTGAATCCCTTCACAAAATATTACCCTGCTCACACTCCAACAGCTCATCTGGTCCCCAAAACTATTTGTCTCCATTCAATCCTATCTAACATGTGCACGCTTGCTGGAAGTCCAAGCCCCTCGTCTACAAAACCTCCTTTACCCCCTCTCTCCAACCTTTTCAATTATGACCCCTACCCTGTCTTCCTTCCCCTATAGATTTATATGCTCTCCAAGTCATTCTACTTTGTTCCATTCTCTCTAAATGACCAAACCACCTCAACAACCCCTCTTCAGCCCTCTGACTAGTACTTTTAGTAACTCCACACTTCTTCCTAATTTCCACACAATGAATTCTCTGCATAATATTTACACCACACATTGCCCTTAGACACGACATCTCCACTGCCTCCAGCTGCCTCCTCGCTGGCTGCAGCATTTACAACCCATACTTCACATCCATATAAGAGTGTTGGTACCACTATACTCTCGTACATTCCCTTCTTTGCCTCCATGGATAATGTTCTTTGTCTCCACAGATACCTTAATGCACCACTCACCTTTTTTCCTTCATCAATTCTATGGTTAACCTTATCCTTCATAAATCCATTTGCTGAGAAGTCAACTCCCAAATATATGAAAACGTTCATTTCTTCCATACTCCCTCCCTCCAATAATATCCAATTTTTCTTTATCTAAATAGTTTGATATCCTGATCACCTTACTCTTATCTATGTTCACTTTCTACCTATACACACCCTCCTAAACTCATCCACTAACCTTTGCAACTTTTCTTTAAAATCTCCCAAAAAGCACAGTATCATCAGCAAAAAGTAGCTGTGTCGGCTCTCATTTTCTATTTGAGCCCACATAATTTAATCCCACTCCTCTTCCCCTTCTATAAATATGTTAAACCACCATGGTGACATTACACATCCCTCTCCCCTCTCCCCTACATACCTTAACCGGAGGCTTAGGTGTTTACATGCATTAAAAAAAAAAAGGACCATGATTCACTTTACAGCAGTAGTCCAGAACCTAATCTGCTGTATTAAGTGGGGACCTCCTGTATTACACAAATAACCTTAGTACAAGAGAATGAAACTTGTGAATACGTTTCAGTTCAACTTAGACTATTAACAAGTCATACAGAAGTGTGAAGGGAAGGGAACCAGTATATATACGAGTTATAAGAACATAAGAAGTAACACCGCAACAGGCCTACTGACCCATGCGAATGTCCATGCCACCCCGCGGCTTAGAAAAATGACCACCTAGTCGGGTCACTTCCACTTAAGGAAGGAGCATGGCACCAGACCTGGTAGCACAAGCTAGTCAGGTCCAACTCACACTCACTACACAAGGTCTTAGCTTCTATGATGGTACTCGGGAGTTTGTTCCACTCATCCACAACTCTATTTGGGGTATGTATTGTTCTGGTCATGATATTGTGCCTTTTATTCATTATTATTAACTTTACGGTAAGTCCTCAAGCAGTAGGGGTCATACAGTGCCTGGGAAAATGGAAGGCATTCAGGTTCAATCCAAGGAAGGGGAAGGCAGGTTCAATTCCTTGGATCAAGAGTCCTTACCCAATATTCACGGGGAAGTATGAAATCTAATAAGGTCAGTAGCACCCGGTTATGGAAGGTAACCAGGTTTAATTTGTAGAAGGATAGAGTAGCTCAAATTCCTTGAATCAAGAGCTCTTCACTGGCATCAAAGCATACCTGTTGAAGGTACCTATTGCAAGAATAACACTTTCCTAACAGAAGAGTGTATGGTATTTATGGACAGCCTCTCTACCTGGGGAATGTGAGGTAATCAGGTCTGATCCAAGGATGGGCACCTCCAATTCCTTGGATAAAGAGCCCTTAACCAGTAATAGAAACTTCCCTTTGAAGGGAACTTACTTGAGGGGCATTCCTTTGAAGGGAACTTATTGAGGAGCATCTCTTTGAAGGAAACTTACTTGAGGAGCGAGTGTGAGAGGATTGGAGACCACTGAAGATGTGACACAGCTGCTAGACATAGTTGTGGAGGCTCCCATACTGGAAGAGATGCTGCAGGTGGTGGTGGTGCTGGCAAATGGTAGTGACGATATATAATCCAAATGTTGCAACCCACTAGCAGAGCCACCTGAAACACAAACATGGCAACACATCAGGGCTTGGTTGTTCTGTTTATAATGCCTAAATTTAGGTTTGTAAACCTTCAATGTCCTTATATATGACCAAATAATAACTGCCATTGTAGTCTTAAGTTAGGGTTTACCTTGCCCGAAATAAGAACACGAAAGAAGGAGCACTGCAGCAGGTCCAAGTCGCCTACTGGCCTAAGCCAGTCAGGTCAAAGTAAATATCCTTAAGAAGGATGGAGAAATGCATCAGAGCCACTGACCCAAGACAGTCAGGTCCAACATAACCATTGTCTTTCTTCATGTATAACCAAGTATTACCCATCTCTGCACAAACATTGTATCATGTGGAAATTAATCTTTGTTTCTGCCTATTATTGGAAGTTCTGGAAATGGGAAGTACATGGCCTCTACTCAGAAAGACGGGATGAGAATGCTGCAGTTCTGGGACATTTGAATAGTGATGACCGTGCACTTCTAGTGAATGAATGATGGTGAATGTTTCATTCTTTTAGTTAATGTAGTAAAAAAAAAATACATGTAAAAGTCTAATGGCACCTGCGCCTTTCCACCTATCATTAAACAGACTGTAGTGGGTGACGTCCCATACTACAGGGCTGGCCTTTAAAAATGGGTCGAGGAATCTAGATAAAAGATAGGCATTCAATGACCAAAACATGTAAGGAAATGCTTCAAAAGTGGTTTTCTTCAGTCCTAAGAAACCATTTGCAGCGTAGCATTTCCTTAATAAGTGTCTATGTGCCTTTTACCTACATGTCAGTATCACTGAACCACGATGAAGAATTAGACACGTGCAACATCTGAGACGTTTCGCCATCCAGTGGCTTTATCAGTACAAATTCAAGAACAATGGGAAAACAGTAGAGCTATATACTTTCACAGTTGCCATCTGGTTGAATCCTCTCCCTTATACACAATTTTCCTTATATGAATCTTAGTCCTAGCTTTGTCTCTCTAGATGCCTTCCTTTCCCATTATATTGTAAAATGCTCCAAACCTCAGAACACCCGTGACTTGACCTGATTCTTTTTTCTCCTTCTCCCTCTTCCCCTTTCCTCTTTCCTCCTCCTTTGGGTTTTCTTTCTTCTGCCTTGGGTGTTTGATCCTTTCTTATTTATTTATTTATTCCCCCCCCCCCTCTGTGTTTTTGTTCCTACTCTTTGTGGGCCCCTAGCTCCCTTGCAGTGCTCCTCTTTCCTAGTCTTTGACTGACTCCACTGCTACTACCTCTACCTCTCTACTTCCTTTCCTACTACCTCCCTTGTCCCGTTCCTGTCTGCTGGCTTATATATATTGCCTCCTCTCCATTCTGTTTCCTTCCTCCACACATCAGCATTCAGTACATGGCGTACATCACGTTCGAGACAGACACATGGTTTCTGCCGAAAGGAAGAGGTCACGATGTTCCAAGGACAAAACGGAGGACTCGGATTTAGAAATGTGGGGCGCAATCCTAGGGAAGAAGTTGCGAGACCACTCTGTGTCATCAGAGGAAGAGGAAGAGTTTGCAGATCTGACAGCTCCAACCATGCAGCCAGCGAACATGAAAGGATGGATCAATGTGAACAGTAAGACACGTCGTCCGTCCAAGGAGCAGGCAAACCAGCTTAACCAACCTGGCAGATTCAAGATAAAGGCTTATGAGGAATACAAAACCCACTATGGCGTGGTTACACACCTGGAATCACGGCACAAACTGAGGTTCAAGATATGGTTCAACCTGAGGGAAGAACCAATAATGACTCCTCTCAACAAGGAAATGCACACCACCTTGAAGAGAGTCATGGAGACAGACTGCTCCTTCACCCTGGAGGAACTGGATTCTCGGCAGGTCACCAAGGGTGTAGTGATGCGGTACCCGCTGATGATGTTCATCGAGGCAGTAGCAGTTCACCCAGTGTGGTGTCAGCTCAATATCTCAAGGCAAAGACTGCAGGCAACGCACCAACCCGGCAGGTCCTCATTCAGCATGTAGGACCACTGTCATCCCAGCTGGACCTCGGTTCTTGGGGTAGGTACGATGTCAAGACCTTCACGGCAGAACCAGTTCGCTGCTTCAAGTGCCAGCGTTACGGACACCTGGGAGCACTCCGTCCGAACAGAGTAATCTGCGGTGTATGTAGCCAGCCCCACCCTACCGAGGATTGCATCACCAAGCTGAAGAATGCATCGCCACCCACTCCACGATGCCCGAACTGCAGGCAGAAACACCATGCCTGGAACCCTCGATGCCCCGAGAGGCTCGCTAGAATTCATGAGGCCTGGAAGACGCCAGCAACGAGGCAGCAGGCTACGGCAGAGCATCACCCTCAGCAGACGATGGGTGCAAAGAATCCTGCCACACTGCAGAACTTTCACATCAGGCCACTCAACTCAATGCCGAAGAATTTCCGACTCTTGAAGCCTCAACCAGGCGTCATTGACAGGAGCCTCCTCCCCCTACCTCAACGAAGAAACAAAAACATAAGGAACAAGCGGCGCCAACAGGAAACATCTAGGCAACGCAATCAGCAGACGGCACTACACGAACCCCCACCGGCCATAACACGGCAACGCAGGCACACCTTGCCTGGCACAGCCACTGTGCAGGTTTCCCTGGCTGTGCCTGCACCTCACCAGCAGATGCCGGCTACCCAACTTGGCACACAGCAACAGGCCACGGTGTGTACAGTGAAGAAATACAACCCTCAGCAGTCCCCACAGATCACAACCCAGATAATATTCACTGCCTCGAACCCACCGACAACGCAGGCCCTCAACAGGGAAGAACTCTTAACACTCATCAAGGCATTCAGGGACATTATTTGCAACACAATCAACTCAACGGAACAACAGAGCATGTTCCGGCAGATGGTCAGCACACTCCCGAGGGTGTGCTTACTGACTGAGGCGGCGGCGGTGGATGCCACGAATCTGCAGATTCTCAGAGCGGCAGAGCCAAGTCCCCAGCTCAGGAAACAGCTGAAATGGAGTAACCTCAGTACCAAATCACAGTCGCTTATGAGACGCACTAGCTGAACTGACCAGAACAGTGCTTGAGCAGCATACGCTGCAACAATGAAGAATCAATTCTCCTCCTGGTCCCCAGACACGGGTCATCTCAAGATTAAGACCCGTGCCAGGACCCTGGCCTTGGCGAACATTATACATACACATGCATCCTTTCTGTTAGTGTGACTTTGTAAATGGTCCAAGTCGGACTGCAACGTCGTCCTAAGCTCCCCTCTCCTATGTGCGGGTTGTGTATTGTTCCAGTCACGGTATTATCTTTTTGTTATTTATATATATTGTACCACGTGTACCATGTGTCTAAGCAAGATAATGTCTATATTATTATGCATGGAGAAGCGCTAAACCCATAAGGGTTATAAACTGCCTGAGTAATGGGAGGTAATCAAGTTTGATTCAAGGAAAGGGCAATAAAATTTTGGATCACCAGGTGAAGAGATGGTTGATATTATAGGTAAACGTTAAACCGTATTTTTTCATAATCATGCAACGCCGGCAGAATGGAAGGTAAACAAATTCGATCCAAGCAAAGGGAATGTAGCTTCAATTCCTTTGATCAAGAGCTCATCAATGGCAACAACGCACCCCCCCCCCTTGAACAAGGGTGAGGAAATGTGCGTAGCCCTGGTCAAACACCTAAAGCATATCTACCATAACACAGCATCATAAACAGTGTATCATGGTCAAGTCACATTTGCTGTACTGAACATGCAAATAACAAATTGTAATTCCAGAGACAATAAATTAGACCAGGCTTCAGTCCAACAATGCTGCATCAACAACGGTCCCTTGGAACACTACGGCAAAATGTACACACGATGTGTATACATCTGTATGTACCCTGAGGTACATATCTGTGTAAACGCCTCTGAGTTGTCGGGAAGTGGAACAATATCGAGATTTAAGTAGTGGAGGCAGGATTCATACATAGACTTAAGAAGAGGTACGACAAGGCTCTTGTAGCCGGGAGAGAGAGGGCCTATTAGCGACCAGCGAAGTGGGGCCAGCTGTGACTCGACTCCTGCAATCACATTAAGGTAAATATACACACAATGACGTGTACATAAAACAGGTAAGGCCTTCTGTAGAAGCTATCCCCTTTGTATGAGTGGAGGAGAACATAATTATCTGTGAGGGAAAGAATTTCTACAATGTTAAGGGAAATCATGTATAAATACCAAGGCGGAGATAAATGGTATAAAATGCCGACACGGTGGAAAAATAAACACAAATGCAGTATAATGCGACCCTTAGTTGAGCACTTTGCCAGGAAACTTCATCGTTCTCCTACATAACAACTAACCTACTTGCCCAATCCGTGCGGGTTCTTCTCAAAGCCAACTTTCTCAGTATTCTCCACCTGACTCTCCACGTCACTATGCTCCCTACATATGCTCATGGAAGAAATCACAATAAAACAACAGTATTTGAGCCTCACGTGCTACAATACTGCAGAACCCATTCTTCTTCGGGAGCCAGACACGGGTCATCTTAAAGACCCATGCCAGGACCCCGGTCTTGGCGAAGATACATGACACAATAAAACGAGTGACTGCAAATAAATAAATAAATACATTATATATATTATATATATATATATATATATATATATATATATATATATATATATATATATATATATATATATAATATAATATATATATATATATATAACAGCGAAAATAGGAAATAAAACCTGAGCGTTTTCAGTTGCTTACACAAACATCTTCGAGTGAGGTGTCACTTCAGGGTTTAACAGAAAATGTGGTTCTCTTGCCTCGTCGTCCTATTCCTCAGATGTGTGTACTCAGTGTACTGTGTAACACATGAAATCCCCTCAAGCTTTTTTTTCCCTTTTTTTACCCTGGTTTTTTTTTTTTAATATATACTATGTACTCTCTCTGAGCAGACTGTTTGTTTTTAAACGAGGGTAAAAATTCCCTAAAAATAGGAAAACAAATTTTTGACTTTT